GTCTAAACCGAGTGTGATAAGAAGTGGTGTCCATCAAAGATGCATATCGACAGTGTTTTTCTCTATCTATGCTGAGATGATGATGACTGGAAGAGTAGAGACGGAGGTAATTGTTGGAGGAGAGCTACTGAAGAACGTACGGTTTGCAGATGACCAAGCTACGAAAGCAGAAGTAGGCTTGCAAAAATTGATGGATAGCCTGAGCGTAAAGAAAAAAAAATGTAAATAAAATAAAGTGATGAAGATCTCGAGAAAGAGAGACAGAAGTCAATGGACAGAGGGTTGAACAGATTAGTCAATTTAAATATCTGGGCAGTCTGCTTACAGAAGATGGAAGGAGTGGAATTGAGATGAGAACTAGAATAGGAATGGCAAAGGCAGCCTTTATTAGCATTGCTCCTTACCAAGAGCGCCAGTAAGAAATAGTGAAGGGTGTGGTTTGGAGTGTGTTTTTGAACGAGACAGAGACATGGACGTTGCTAAAGGATGATATAAGGAGACTAGAAGCCTTTGAAATGTGGATTTGGAGAAGAATGGAGAAGGTTAGTTGAAATTAAAAGAAAGACCAATGAGGAGGTATTAGCAGCTGTGGGAGAGGAAAGATCACCTAATACTATTAAAATTAGCAGGCAGAAAAACTGGATTGGCCATATATTGAGAACTTCAGGATTAATGAGAGATGTGATTGAAGGACGGTTGCAAGGGAAAAACCTCGAAGTAGAAGGAAGTAGGAATGCTGGATGAAGAATGACAGACGAACGTATGTGGTGCTGAACTGAAGAGAATGCCGAGGATATAATTTAATGGAGAAGACATCTAGGCTAGCAAACAATTCGGTAAAATTAATATCAATTATTTTATTCATTTCAGATATTTAAGTTTAATTTTTAATGTTTTATATGCTTTTTATACACTAGCGTCTGGCTTCAATTGCAGATCGCTCTGAGAGGTAGGCGGGAAAGACAATGTATCCGTTATAATGTTGGTACTGGCGCTGCACTGTGGATGCCGCGGGTCTCCAGGGTTTCAGCCAAAATTTCCAATTTTCAAATATTTGGAATTGAACAAAAAAAGTAAAATTTAATTTTTAGTTTAATTTTTAAGAATAATATTTGATATTGACAATTCGGTTTTTCTGTTTAGTGTTTATAAAGTCATTGAGTTTCATGATCATGGTAGAGACGACAACCTAAACATTCTATTCAATATCGTAACACTAAGTTTTTTTTAAATTGATAAACTTGATTGTGTTAGCAATGTGAGAACTTGCATTTTAGTAATGCATCGTCACTAACAGTAGATGAGTTTATGTCGTTAATGAATGTATGTTGATATCCATTATTGATGATTTTTTTTTCTCCGATTAACGAAATCACTATAAGAGATAAAACCTAAAACAAACCATGGTATTCCAATAACCTATACAGTAATTAAACGATCATTAGGTCTAATTTAACGTCAGTGGCGTACTACTAGACTAAATATTGATAAAGGGTTTTATGTTAAACAATTTAGAGTATTTAAATAATTTAATTCAATTCAAATTCCAATTGAATTTTATTGTGCTTCATGTGCCATTAATTAGCCAATATTCGCTTAGAATCACATTCACAAAAACACTGTAAAATATGATAAAGAAATAAAAGAAGAAAAAAAAACAATCACAAGTAAAATTAAAGAAAGCTCTTGAAAACCAAAATTAAAAAGAGAATTCCAATGCATAATCACATTAGGCAACTGATGAAGTCAGTTAATCTTCGCAACATAACACTCATTAGGAAATATCTATCTAAACAAACTACGGCATGTAACATACAGGCATTCATCTTCTCTTGTCTAAATTATTACAACTCCATTTTGTTGTCACCTAAAATTTATCGCAACAAATTTCAACGACTTTAAAACTCGGCTGCAAGTGTACTTACATCACATATACTCACATGACCCCAATTTTGCATAATTTACATTATCTAACTGTTTACGCTAGAATTTAATACAAAATCATTTTACTAACTCTCAAAGCGCTTCACTCCTATTAACCCACTTACACTGTTCAACTCATCCCTTAAATTAATGCGTTACTGGTTATTCTATTAAGTCACCTGTCCCCATTTATGTTTAGTTCCTCGAAGCAACACTAAAACTATTGGGTATAGAATTCTAGTTTGCAGCACCAGCTTTGGAAGGCACTACTTATTCTCATCAAATAATATACTTCAATTGCTTCATTAAAAATTCACTTAGGACACACCTTTCCATCACAAACATATTGCTGCCGATATGGACTCCGGTCTGTGGCGCTTAACAAATCTCTACCTTATTCTTATTATTACCATAATAATTCTGAAGAGGTAAATGTCAATGGCAGGGTCCCAACAGGGTCCTCTGTCTAGCACCCTGACCCAAACACCGTACCCTCACCCAAAAACGCTTTGTTGATACACCCTACTTGTAAAAATCCCTCCCTGGGCTCCTCTATTTCAAATCCTTAATCCGCTACATATCATATCATTTATTTCGTCGTTAAAAAACATTTAGATTATAACGACAAACATAATTTGAAAAACAAGACCATCTAAAAATCCACAATGGAATTAGTGATCGGGCCCCTAGTCTTAGAAAGCCTCAGGAACCGCAGCCTCAGTGTTACACCACTGTGTCAAGATTCCTATCGTCGTCGACCTTATAATTCGGGACATTGCAAGTTCGAAATTTTATAACGGACAATACAAGCGCAAGAAACAAAACCAAGTTTAGCAATAAAGAAATACAAGAAAAGTGATCCATGTATTGAAGTTTATAACTACTAAACAGTACTTAACCTATATAATAGTTTACAAATATTATTAGTTAAAATTGATAAGAAATGTATCTTAAGAAACAGTCGTGTCATTGATATTTAATAAAAATTATTTTGTGTGTTTATATAAGTTAACTGGATGTAAACATAGTCCTAGAACATTACCATCATTACCATTTTATTTATTTTTTTTTATTTTTTATTTATTTTATTGTATTTTATTAATTTTTTTTTTTATTTATTTAATTTATTTTTTCAGAGTTGCATGGAATAATAAACGTAAACCCAATTTACAACTCTGCGTTAGAATTACTTTTATATTAGTTTAATTTTAGTTTGAACTGTATGCTTTCATTGCAAAATAATGCTTTTTTGAGACATAAATCAAATTGATGTCTGCAAATGATTTAAAAGTGACCTCAATAAAAAAAAAACCTGAATATGCAATATGCTTGTATTATAATGTGCAATATATTTGCAATCAAAAAGCTACTTGGGACAATAATATTATTGTAATAGCTTTCAACAATTATTTGTTTCTATTTTCCTTGAATACCTCCCGGTATACCTAGACTTCTCACGACTAGTACCAAGTGTGTGTCTACTTTAATCCATTAATCAAATTTGTTATATTGCACCTGTATCTATTGTATCTATACTGTACATTATTTTAATAACCAGATAGTTCACAATGTGGTCACGTCGATACAGGAACATATAAGCAATATGTTTACAGTGATTTTAATATAATTGGCATATGTCTTAACTGCCATTTGTTTATTTGAGCATCGCGTGACTCGGGTATAATATTGAAATGCGTATCAATAATTATGTAATTTATCTTTCAGAATGAAAATCTGATTAGGTAGAAGTTTAGTGATGCAATAAGAATACGATCTTTAGAAACAATAGTCCTGTGTTGTATAATTTATTTATATACTGTATATAAACATTTCCTTTTATGTCTATCTGTAATATTATGTTATACTTAATGAGTATTCATTATGAAAATAAATATGCACAATGTTATGCATGTTCATATTTTAATTTATCTGAAAATAAGAAAACAATTATATATGAATTAGGTATTGAAAAATATAATATCAATAATAAAATTATATAAATAATAATAATAATAATAATAATAATTACCGTACTCGCGAGAATAAGCGCCCCGTTTGAATAAGCGCCCCTTAGTGTTTATTTTTTAAAACAATAACTTGTGATTGATTTTTTTTAATCAAAATTTGTATCAAATCAAATTTTCTTCTTATGTCAATTTCAAAATGAGGATATTTTATCCTGAACAGATGAGAGCTCCCTGGACAGTATCTTTCCAACTTTCTTCTTCTTACATTTGTCTACTTCTCTTTTTCTTTTTCTTGCCAATTTGCACCTTTAGCACGTTTTCATATGAGTTTGCACGACGAACTGCAATGATCCTGCTAATCTCAACTGGCAGATGACCAACAAGCTTAGGGCCTATACACCACCACCACCACCTCTAATTTCATCTGCTGTTAAAACTCACAGAATTCTTGTCACGAGCCATGCGATTATCTTTTCCGCACCATAACCATTCGTAATCTTCGGTTTTCGGAAGTCCTTATACAATTTTTTTCATTAAAAAATCGCCCATTAAAGTTTTCAATTTTCCAGAAGAATCCCTCAATTTTCATGTATTTCCATAAGCGGCCAGTCAATTTCCACTCTGTTTTCATAAGCGCCCCGTTTTCATAAGCGCCCCTCAAAAAGGGCAAAAAAAAAATATTTTAAGCGCCCGGGCGCATATTCGCGCGAATACGGTATTATTATATTATAACAATAAATGATGATGGTGATAATAACATAATATTGATGATGACAATAATAATAGTAACAATAATAATAATAATAATAATAATAATAATAATAATAATAATAATAATAATAATAATAAATAATAATAACAATAATAATAATAATAACAATAATAATAATAATAATAATAATAACAATAATACTAATAATAATAATAATAATAATAATAATAATAATAATAATAATAATAATAATAATAATAGCTATAATCATATATAGACATATAAATAAATAATGAGCAAGCGATTAAATACAACCGAAATGAAGTCACCATTTAAAAGGGTTATCAGTTCATTATTCATTCGCAGCAAAATCAAATCGACTGAAGATTATAACTCACCTTCTAAACGTAACCCACTCCTTTCAAATCACCTACACATTCCCTAGTCGTAGGGTTTGCTCTACAGAGTCCAGGTTTACAGATTGAACGGAAAATAATAACTCTATCAGAAGCTTTAGTAGATATTACATGGATGCTGGTTGAACAATCTGCTGTCTGTAGTAATAACGTATGCTACCAAGGTATATTCACGGATATGCTTCTGTTTTAGACAACGCAAAGTGATAGCATACGTCAGAACGAAAGGGTACTGCGCATGCCTTAACAATTGTTAATTTGTATGACGAAAGCGAAGCCGGTGTATATTACATTGTAAGACTATCAAATCTGCTTTCAACCTTAAGTCGGGTGAAAATAGGAAGCGTGATTATTAATTTAAAACCACTTCGATCAAGTTGTTACCTAGTGCTGTTGTTGCAGTCATCTCACGTGACATACGGATTATACATGCATATGCATAACGTGAGTGAACAGGGAATAACTTATACACGATTCTATATAATTATGAAACAATCCTACTGACAAAAGAATAATATTATTATCTATTGCAAAACGACTGCTCTGAACTGTAGGCCTATGTATGTTTCTGATTGCTTATTCCATGGAGGTATGCTTATTCGGTATACATTAATTTGGCTAGTGTGGACTGTGTGATGTTACAGCAGATGTTAATGGAATCATTAAATGATTCAGAATCGAGACAAATTTTGTCTGATTCAGAATACATGATTACATTAACAACATTAATGTAGAAAACAAATTACAATCAATGCTTACTAAAACAATGTAAATACAATAACCCACCGTGAGAACTACATACAATCTAGAAGTATTAATAATTATTATGATGATAATAATATTATATAGTAATAATGTTTAAATTATTTATGTTGGGTTATTAGAAAAGAAAGTATATTATTTTTATTTGTATTCATACGTAGTAATTATTATTATAAGATGTGTAAATGATTTAAAGATAGACATTTTTATATGTACAAGTTAGAATCAATTATTTATTTTGGTGATGGTATTTATAATTAATTACCACATGTAAATGTGTTTATTTGAAGCATTTTCACAAAAATTTAATGAATAACCAACAGATAAACATTCTATTATCACTATTGGTTAAAATAGAAACTGGTACGAGATTGAGTTGTGATTAACGATAAAAGCAGCTTTGGCACACAGCCATTTTTAATTGATAACAACGATGCTTCATGCAGAGCAGAAGTGTGTGGAAAAAACACGAGCTAGCATCAGAAGTGTAGTTTATTATAATGTAATTTGGTTTATTACTGTTAGTTTATGTTCAATCTGAATACAATGTTATGCAAACTAAATGCTTGTTTTCTGCCAATGTTTCATTCACACATTTTACCGAGTGTTCCTTCGTGACGATTTTCTATTTTGTCAGTGATGTTGACAACAAGTTGCCTCGATCGTGTTGTATCGTAGACATTTTGCAAGCTGAATCGATCAGCTCCTATACGTCATTTTATATTTACAGTAGTCTCTTCTTTCATGGTATCAGTATTTTAAAACATGCACTTAAATGTTACCCCTTACCAGGATTTATCAGACCTACGATGATGGTCGATATTAATATGCAGATAATAATAATAATAATAATATACCGACGTATTTATAAATAAACGCCCCAGGGACATTTATTGCTAAGAATGGTTTTTAATGTTTTTTTTTTTTTTTTTTTGGTGTAAATGGATACCTATATTATACTAAAATAAAATTATCCCACAACACATTACAGAAATGTGCTAGTGCGTGTTCTCAGACTTATTCATCAGGTCACCATTTTTTGTTAAGGATGTTCCTGACCATTTAATTTTACATTAGGTTTACGCCCTATATAATTAATTATAATTAACAAGCGCCCTACATGCAAAGCAGCAGGTCATCACGGTCTTTCTAATGAACATTTTTAATTCGCTTCTGATCGACTGTATACGTTACTTAGTTTACTCTATCGCAAATACTGAAGAAGATCCCTCTATGCAATGTGAAATAGACCTCATGACAGTGCCTGGGAACTACCTGGAATAAACAAAACAGTGCTTTCGTGCGATAGTCGTCTGGAAGGGTCGACGTCAAATTCATGTCGATTTTTGCATGTTGCATCGAATTGATGAAAAAGTTTAGCTGGCGTCAATACTCATATCTCATTAAGGAAAAGTCAACATTTATTCAAATCAAAAATAATTTTCATTCCGGTCAACTTTATAACCATAAACGAGAGCGTACTCTTACACCCGCGCGTCAGTGCATGTGCAGAGCGTCTTGAGCACCATAATGAGTGGCTGATCCAGGAATTCGAAATAGAGGGCCAGAGAAGGGACGGATTGCTATAAGCGGTCTTTAGACGGTCTTAACGGTTAGCCGGTGTAACACGAAATTTAGTTCCCTGAGAATTTTAGTATTTTGTGGTCTGGATAATCAGAGCCTATGGGACACAAATTTGCAACACTTTCTTCTGGGGTAAACAATTATTTAATATGTCATGTATTCATTAAACAACATAAAGTAACGGAAGGTTATACAATCGAGCATGTACCTTATGTTGAAACTTAATTTCACAACTTATTATCCAGCATAAACAATCTGTAGAAAATATGTAAAAGCTAATTTACGTTGAAAAAAATCCCAAGTCACTTTAAAGCGAGAAACAGTGAGCATGATGGGAAGGGTAGTTGAAACTTACTTTACTTTACAGCGACTGTAATTAGGCTAGCAATAATATGGCGGGAATAGATTGGTGATCATATTACGTCCGCATAAGCAGTATAAAATAAAAACTGTGTAGACATTTACTGGCAGTTCGGCGGTGGAGTTACGCGAAGTTTCGGGTCAATTGGGAGAAGTTGTTCTCTAGCTGTTAGTGTTGGCCTACATATTTTGTAAAGCTATTCATTGGTTTCTATCTTGAATTTTCGTGTAGTGTATGCTATCATACGGCTTCCTTTTTTAAGACAATCTAAACAGCTTGTCGTACCACTGCTGAAACTTATAGAAATAGGCCTGTAAGATTAGGGACATTTTAAAAGTTTTACTGTATAATAATTCTATTCTTTTGTTGATTATAACACATTTAATTTGATTAGTGATATTGTATAGTTAAAAAAACAAAGGGAAAAAAAGCCACCCCTCCCCATCTAAAATTGTGTTGTGATGCGACGCTAAACAAGTAATTTCTTCTATTTGGTCTTATTGGAAGCTATAAATAAAATATTAACACGAGATACCGGTAATTAATTTATGTTGGGTTATAAACTTTTGTCTAAAATATCTAATTATGGTAAATGCCATAAACGCACGTACATTCTATATCTGGATGATACTGTTCAAGAGTCCTTCGTGACGTTTTCATTTCCAGTATTGTGATTATTACATTAAAAACTCACTTGTATTATATTTCATTTTAAAATATCTGTATCCACTATAATGAAATATCTTGGATGTTTTAAAAGTAGTGTTACATGGATAAAAGAGGCAATCTATAGGATTTTAAATGGAAGAACTGTTGATATAAGTGAATTATATCAACATACAGCCATCAAGCCATAACCACAGTCTGTGCCATCGTTCCATATAAAATTTCAGCTCCGGTTCCATCATAGACTTATCCTTTGTGTGAAACAGAAAGTAATTTCTTCTATTTGGTCTTATTGGAAGCTATAACAAAAAAAATATTAACACGAGATACCGGTAATTAATATATGTTATGTATGTTGGGTTATAAACTTTTGTCTAAAATATCTAATTATGGTAAATGCCATAAACGCACGTACATTCTATATCTGGATGATACTGTTCAAGAGTCCTTCGTG